GTATGTGGTACGATGATAGGGGGATTCTGATGAAGTAGAAGAATTTGATAATAGTTTTAGAGAGATCAAACCGTGATCAGAAGTACCTAAAGGTGAATGTGGAGAAATTGAGCACTGACTAGGATCCAAAACAAGACATAAGTCGAGTAGAGAAGGTAAATGATTAGGGTTGTCTGGAAAACGAGTTGGAAAGTTGACTATTTGAGTTAGAGATTGAGAAAGGCAAAAGTTGAGGGCCTTAACGCCAGCAGAGTCACTGACACTAGAGCCAAGCCAATCGGTGTGATGGGCATTAAAGTCACCAACAACGACGATATTGGCCGATGGATAAAGAGAGAGGGCTTGGTCAATTTGATCAGAAATAACATCAAGAATAGTACAATCTTGGGATGAAGGAGAGCGATATATAACAAAGAGAAAGGCAATAGAGTGAAGTTGTGCTAAACGAAAGCACATAAATGAATAGTCTGTAGATTCAAACCTAGTTTCACGACAAATGGGTGAGTTTTTACGAATGTAGATGCCCAGGCCAAGCATGTGATTATTGGAGTCTTTACGAATTAAAGGAAGATAACCATCAACACTAAGATCACAGGATGGGACAGCCGAACTCAAATTAGTCTCACAAAGAGCAAGTAGGTCTGGTGAACTTTGCAGGAGATAAGACTCAACAGAAGAAAAGTTACTTCGAAGACCACGAATATTAGTAAATGATAGGTTTAGAGAACTTGGTGATGACAATGGTTTTTTGTGTTTTTTAGTTTTAGGTACTTTAGTCATTTTAAATTTATAAAGAACTTGACTCAAGTATAGATAGTACTCAGTACACTATTTAACAACTAAGCAATAGCCTCATTACTATTAATAAACCCTAAGCCGTAACAAAGGGCTCCAAATGTGGCCTCTGCAATGCACACCAAAAGTACAAACAGGGACACCATCCATGCGCAACATGGCACTGTTAGTACTCTGATATTTTTCGGCTGTTGATGGAATCAGCCTCTCTGAGAGCTACCACAGAGTTCGGGAAACCTGACTACCAGCCGGCCTCAGAACCATAAAACTGAGTTTTAGAGCTGTACAATCATTAGGAGATAATAGAATGAGTTGCCCAGTCATAAAAATAGAGACACAAGCAATACCCACGCATTGAGTCAAGAAGATCCAGCGTTCAACATCCTAAACTGGAAACAATGTATTAAAAATACATCTGCGCCAGCCTAATAGATGAGGAAGGGGTGCGAGGCTGGTCAACAGATAGAATCTGTTTACCCCTTAAGTCTTTGCCTAGGAGGCCTTCTACAAGACAGCAGCTGGATGCATGTAATATCTGCCCAAGATGAGTATTTTTATCGAGACACCATCTCTAGCCTTTACTCAACCAAGAGCCCCAAGGCAGGGGGTGTTTTAATTCAGAGTTAACTTCTCCTAGCCTTTGCCTAAAAAAGCGTATCCTACAAGGCAGCAGGACATGGAGCAGGTTGTACTGGGTTACATGTTACCAGTAGCAGGAAAACCTGACCTGACCTAAAATAAAATTGATAGAAATTTTTAGAAATAAAATTGATAGAAATTTTTTTAAAGAATAAAAATTAATATTCATTAATTCAAATGAAATTTTTTATCTTTTTATGTGTATTAATTTTAAAGATTTTTAATAAAACTAATTTCTAAAAAAATTCGTTTATAAAATCAAAACAAGTTAACTTTTTTTAAAATATTTTTTAGTATAAAAAATGCATACTTTTATAATTTATATAACATTATTACATTTTAATAAAAAATTATATACAATTTTTATTGATTTAATTGAAACTTTTATTGATTTTATTGAATTCGAAACAAAAATCATTATCAGTACTTTGTACTTTATTTTAAAAAAGTTTGTAAAGATAAAAGTTTTGATCTTATTTACTTTCATACATAATTTTATTTAGTACGTTTTTGATATGTAAAAAGCTGTGGTCAAATTGTCAAAACTAAGTATTATTTGTGTGGTTATATAAAGACGTGCAATCGCACACCTTCCTGACCAAGATTGATTGAGATTTTTTCCATTGTCAAATTTCTCCATATTCATATATTTATTATTTATAATATCACTAGCTCTACTCGAAATCTCTGAGAAAAATTTGATTGCATATCATAACTTTAAGCTCTTGGAATTAAGGTTGGCATTCAGCAAGACCACCTTAACTGTCAACCTAAAAATGTCGGCAAAAAATGGAAAATGGAAAAAAGGTTGGCAAAAAATCGCCGACCTTGTTTCCATGTTTTATGTTAACTCCTTGTGTCAAATTTTTTTGCCGACCTGATGCCGACCTCCAACAGTATAAAGTTAGCAATTTATTGAGGTTGCCAACCTCATTTTTCCTAATTCCGAAAGTTGTAACTTTATCTTAGGTCTACCACAAAAAATCATGGATTGTTTCTGTAATATTTGATCATGTAAACACTTTAAAATAAAATTTTTTCAGTATTTTAAAGAACTTAAATTTTGTAGGGTGACAGGAATAGTGTGGCAAAATTTTTATTATCACAAATTTGATTTTTAAAAATGTGAAAAAGGAATATTGTCACAAATTGTCACATTATTAATTGTTGAATAACGGAATAAGGAATAGTGTCACAAAATGAATTTAATGAATAGTGTCGAAAATAGAAAAAATGTTGCAAAGAAGTTTAATGAATTGTGTCAAAAACAAAAAGATGAATAGTATTGCAAATGGATTTAATGATTAGTGTCAATAATAAAGAAAAGAATAGTGTTGTGAATGGATTTAATGAATTGTGTCATAAAAGAAAAAATCTTGCAAAGGAGTTTAATGAAAGTGATAAAATGTAATATAATATAATGAAGAAATATAACCCAATGAGAGTAACTGCAATAGCTGCCTCGTTAATAGACAATATTATAATTCATAATGAGTGGTTTACAAGGCTCATAATGATTCTATTAGTGAGGCAGCTGTCTGTTTCATTTTTACTATTTGCAACCATATTCTATTTTTACTATTTGCGACACTTCCAATTTTAGTTTTTGTGACAATTTTTTTTATTTTTTATTTGACACAATTCATTAAATTCATTTGCAACACAATTTTTTTTGTTTTTAACACTAATCATTAAATTTATTTACGAAACTATTCTTTTTTTTTTGCGATGTTAGGCCTTTTTAATATATTCAACTCTGTTCCAAAGTTCATTTTTCGGCACTATTCCTGTCACCCATCAAAACATCTAAACAGTCGTGGTCAATTTATCAAAAAAAATTTAATAATTTGCCTGGTCAGCAATAGCGTTCAATGGCATGCCATCCTTGCCTGCATAACTTTAATAAAGTTATGATATACAATCCCAGGGAGGTGACAGCCTCCATTGTAGCTTCATAAATCAATAATTTACAAGTCAATAATTTTAAATAAAATTAGATAAATTATACTATATATGCATATTCTTATATTCATATATGCTTTTCTTGAGACTTTCAAGTCTTTAGAGTAGTGTTTTTGAATTCATCAAGCAAAAATTTATTTAGGTTTCAAATTTTTGGAAAATCCTCCAAGCCATTTTCAAGATATTATATTTTAAAGTTGCTTTGTTGTCTCTTCAGATAATAACAAATGACTTCATATGGAGTTACCCATGATGATGGTATTCTTTAAAAGCATTTGGTATGTATGACAGATTGGTTTTTTACTTTGAGGTCATTTGTAATTTGGGTTCCCAAGTCATGCTCAGAGGTGGTTTATTCCAATGTAGTTTAAGTCATTATCGAATTAGGGACTTTTCATTTGAGTACTCAAAAATGAATTTTTCAACAGCCTTGATATTACACTGATAAAGTTTGTGCACGTGATTAACTTTTTTTCTGTTTTTTTTAATATTTAGATCAAAATTTTAAAAATGTTAGAAAATAAAATGATTTTGATAAATCATTTTGTTTTAGTATTTGTTTTTTTAGTTACACTGTAATGTTTTGTATCACACCAATCCTTAGCATCAATCCTCAGCAGCAATCCTCAGCATCAATCATCAGCATCAATCCTCAGCATCAATCCTCAGCATCAATCCTCAGCATCATCCCTCAGCAGTTGTTTTTCTAATATTTATTCAAGCATCATAACGTTTTTTAGATTGTTTAAAAGAATGTTGCATTTAACCAAATTTTTTAAACTTTATTAATACATTTAGATTGCTTTTTTTATTGAAACAATTTATTATACAAATATTATTTTGTCTTTTGCATTTTTTTTCTTTGTAAATTTTTTTCTAAATGTTTAAAAGTCACACTTAAATAGTTCCAAACAATAGAGCGACTAATTATAAAAAAAGCTTCTGTAATTGAAATTTATATTAAATAAAAAAAATTAAAATTTATAAATAAAAAAAAATTAATATTAAAGCGAATTTTTATTTTTAAATGTTTTTTACTATTTTTGTATATTAAAGTAAAATATGGCTCAACTTAAAAAACATAAATTTTGTTGTTAAAAAAATATTCTTTTTTTTTGCATTTGTATTTCACCTTACCCACCTTACTTAAATAGACCATTTTAATAGTTAATATTTTTAATATAAAAGTATAAAAATCATAAACTGCTGTTAGGGTAATTTTAGCCCAGTTAATTATAACAATGGAAGTTTATATACATTATAAACTTTACTTTGTTTTTATTGTCTTTTATGACATTTTTATTGTACCTAATTAACGATTTTGAAAATATAAGTTTAAAATTTTATAACTTGATGACTTGACATAAAATGAAACTTGTATTAAATTTAATAAAAAATTTATAAAAATCTTTCTTATTTATAAGTATAGTTACTAGTTTTGTGTTAAATATATATATATATATATATATATATATATATATATATATATATATATATATATATATATATATATATATATAATATATATATATATATATATATATATATATATATATATATATATATATATATATATATATGTAGCTTTTGAATAATCTCTTTAGCGGCTTGTGGTATTCCATTTCAAATTCTTCCAGATTACTTAGAGGGTGCTGAACAAGTACATTTAAACTTTTTTTTTTAATTTTTATTCTAATTGTTATTAAGTTTAAATTTAAAGGTTTACAAAAATAATGTGTATATACAATTCCTGTCAACTTATAATAAAAGTTAACTATGTCAGTTTTTATATAAACTAATATAAAAAGAAATGTATATCAGTCCTAGAGAAGCCATTCATTTTTGAGATGGTTGTTGAGAAGCATTTTTAATTTTTTTAGTGAAAGGTAGTAAACGACCGGGGTTGATATTTGACTGGGGCCAGGGCCGGGTTTGATAAAATATAGCTGGGGCCAGGTTTGTGACCGTGGCTTCATAAACATTTATACATCCTAAAGTACTTTTTTTTTCAAAATTTATGTTTGATTTAGTGTATATATTCATTTATAAACATCACTATGATCAACATGATCATTATCATTATCATCATAATTGTCATCATCATTATAACCATTATCATCATCATCATCGCCATCATCTTCCTCATGATCATGATCATCATCATTATCATCATCATCATTATTGTCATCATCATCATCATCATCATCATCCTTATTGTCATTGTCATCATCATCAGCAGCAAGTTTCTCTAATCATCAATCAATCAATGCTCAAACATGTTAAATCAATCAATGCTCTATTACAATAAACTAAAACTCATTCTTGCTTGGTTTCTTATTCAACAAGTTGCATCCTTTTATAGTATCTGTCCCTATTTATTAAATACTGGCATAAATATAAAATAAGAATATAAAAAATAGTAAGTGTAAGTATAAAATTATATTATAATTTTATTATAATTCATTTAAATTATATTATAATTCAAATGTATAATTCTTTATATATTATATAAAGAATTATACATTTGCTTCTAGCCCTGGCTATCAACCCCTGCTAAATCTTACAATTTTGCCAGGGCCGGATTTGCATAAAGTTTTATTTTTAACCGGGGCCCCGGTTGTTTACTAGTGAAAGGTTCTTTAATGATGTTATTAGGAAGAGAGTTCCATTTATTAATTATTCTTAGTTTTGTATGCTTATTTAAGCGGTAGGGGTGTTTTTTTAGTTTAATTATATGACCACGGGTTTTTAATTGGTTATCATTTTCAAATAAATTTTTATTATGATTATTATTGCACCATTTGAAGACATTAGTTAGATTAGATTGAAGACATTAGTCTGTATTATACACTTTTCATATTTAGTGCCAATAGCCTTTGTTCATATGGGAGATTGCTTAAGCCTCTATTTTGTTAAGAAGATCTTCTTAATATGTTTTCCATTTGAGTATAGAATAATTATAGATTTCAAATGAGTAAAGAGGTTACATAAACACCTAAATCCTGTTCAAAAATTGTGAGCTTAATGTTGATTCTTTTGTTTTGACCTGAATCATACATAATGTACGTATGGGATTTTATTGTTGTGTACTAAGTGTAGTGCAGAGCATTTACCTGTGTTAAAGTTCATTCCCCATTTTTAAGACTATACAACAAGTGTATCAATATCGTTTTGTAATTCTTGCAGAGAACAAAAGATTTTGGTATCAACAGTAAAAAGTGCTACTTTTGACAGTAATGGAGAAATTCCGGGATATAGTTGATATAAATAATAAAAAGTTATGCAGAAAGGACAGAACCTTGGGGAACTCCACTTTCAACGAAAATTCAGTTTGAGTAAGTGCCATTTACAACAACTCTTTGTCTACAGTTTTCCAGAAAGTTTTTTATCCAACAAAGTAATGGTCTATTTATACCATAAGCTTTAAGTTTCAAGATGAGGAAGTTGTTTGGAACTTTGTCAAAGGCCTTTTTTAAAATTAAGGTAAATATTGTCAATGAGAATATTGTTATCAAGTGATAGTGTCCAATAACACAAGTCAATAACAACAAAAGTATTTTTTCTGGTGCTGAGCAAAAATTTATTTTTTTTGTATAGCGTTTCTCATTTTGATTTCAAATATGCAACTCATTTTTCACCATCATGTCAAGTTAAAAAGGTATTTGGGTTCAAATCTCAAATATTTGGGTAAAATCCCTAATATTGTCAACAGCAAAAAAAGTTATTCAAAAGTATGTCAACCTAGGTCTCAAAAAGTATGTCAACCTGGGTCTCAAAAAGTATGTCAACCTGGGTCTCAAGCATATTTTCATAGAGATTTTAGTGAACATTAATATTTTTTCTTTAAAGTTTATTGACAAAAAAATTATGTGAAAAAATGCTTAAGGCTATTAAAAAATCTTTTTATTACAAATTAATATTATTTTTAAAATAAAAAAAAACAAGTTGTTTGCTCGACACCAGCAATATATATATATATATATATATATATATATATATATATATATATATATATATATATATATATATATATATATATATATATATATATATATATTTGGATTTTTAGATGTTTGAGTTTTGACAATTTCAAATTTCATGCATTAATCTCTTATTTTTCGAAAATAATGACCATATAAAGTTTTAACCCCCCCTCAATTTGAGGGGTTGTAAACATTATAGGGTCATAAAAACAATACACTAAGAGGTTATTGCATGAAATTTGAAATTTGTTGATATATATAAACTTAGATAAAAATACTAAAGAAATTATTATATAAACTTGTTGCTCCCACTTTAAGAGGATGGATGGCCCCAAAAATTGGGGTTTTTTTGTCCTCAAGCTCTAATCACCGCAATTCTTTGCAAAACATTCTCATTTGACATAAGCATGAACATACAAAAGCTTAAAGTTTGCACAATGCCTGCATATATATATATATATATATATATATATATATATATATATATATATATATATATATATATATATATATATATATATATATATATATATATATATATAATATATATATATATATATATATATATATATATATATATATTTGTTTGAGGTTGTTGGCCTTAGAAATAGCAGTGTTTTGTTTGAAGTTGTTGCTAACTATGATTCCTAAATCGCGTTCAAATGAAGTCAATTCCAAATTAAGTTAAGTCAATTTATCCATGTCTGTCATTGTATAGGTGTGTTTTTTATTTTGGGCAACTTATGTGAAGAACTTTGCATTTAGAGATGTTTAGCCTCATATGCCATACTCTTATCCACTCAGTTAAAGCATCAATGTCATTTTAGAGCACAGTGCAATCATTCTGTTCTTCACCAAGTCGAATTGTTGCAAGCAGTTTTGTGTCATCTGCAAATATTTTACAGATCGACTTAATTCTATCCAGCAGGTCATTTATAAAGATCACAAAGAGCATTAGTCCCAATACTTACCCTTGAGGAAAACCGCTAGAAACTGGGGTCCAGTCCAATACCACTTTACCTATGATTACTGTTATGGTCAATTAGAAAGGATTTCACCCATTTCAGAATTTAACCATTGATCCTGTACCTTTCTAGTTTCAGGATTAGACTCCTATGGTGAACCATGTCAAAGGCCTTGGCAAAGTCAAGAAAGAACATGTCTACAGACGATCGATTAGTTAATGCTTTTGTTAAATAGTCCATATTTTCAAGGTGGTTTGTAGAGCATGACTTATGGGGAATAAAACTATGCTGTTTTTGTGTTGCTTTTTATTGCTGTCAAATTTCTCCTTTAAAAGCTGTAGCGCTAAACTTATTAAAGGTTGAAATAATGACACAAGAAGACTACACATATTTAGTATAATAGTTAGTTGTAACCATTTAATATATAGATATAGAAATAAATATCAAACAAATATTAAAGTTATTCTCTTTCTTGTAATAAATACGAAAGAAAAAACATTACATGTGTATATATATATATATATATATATATATATATATATATATATATATATATATATATCATAATACATATAATACATACATAAACACATAAAATAACATATAAACATAATATAAACTATAGACATAAATGTTTATTTATTGATCATCCAGTTGAAGGTGCAACGGGTACTGATGCTGATTGGGTCCAATTAAATATAAAGTAAATATGAAACTTTATTAGTCCTAATTTCTTGTAGTTTTAGTATACAAGAATAAAAAGCATAAGAAAGTGTTGATTTTTTCATAAAATAAAGTTTACAAAAATTGAATTATGATAAACTTGTATAAAAATTTCGAAAAATTCATAGAAATTTAGAAAATAAATCTATTTCGTTTCTGCTTTGTTTTTTTCTGAATTTCTCTACGTTTAATGAGTCTCGTCTAACCTGATTTTTTAACAATAAAATTTTTCCTGTTACCATTATTTTTTCTTTTTCTAATTTTAACTGATTTCTTGTTACCGTTTCAAATAATTCCAAGATGCAACAGCTTATTGTCAACTAAGTGCGCTTGGATGGTTTGTCTAACTATATTTTCAAGTAGTTTGCACGTGACAGAGGTGAGACTGATAGGTTGATAATTTCCCAGGTTGGTGGTCAAATCTTTTTTGAATATAGGAGTAATGTTTCCTACTTTCCATGCAGTAGAAACCTCACCTTTGTCAAGTGATTGCTGACAGTGTGGCTAAATATTTTGCCCAATTGGATGGACAGCTATGTAAAACTAGTGGATGGATAGTGGAAGGTTTGCCGAGCACCGGACTAGATGTTGAGTTAAAGATGCTTTCAAAGTGTTTGTTGAAAATGTTTGTTTGTTGTTGTTTATCTGTCGTTATTAGACCAGAGCTATTTAGTATGGCGGTAATACCAACTTTAATCTTGTTTTTGTTATTGTTATATGTAAATAAACATTCCTGTTTTTTTTTAATCATAAGCAAGGTTGAGTTCAAATTTTTTTCGTGCTTTTTTGCTAGTTTTCTTCAAACTATTTTTTTACTTGGTTGTAACATGTTTTTAAGTTGGTGGACTTCCATTTATTTGCCATGTTTAGATGCTATAGTCGTGATTTTATTCTAGATAGTTGCATAATCTCTTTGCATATCCAAGGCGTTTTTGATTTTTGGGTTAGATGTCGTTTTATGATTAGGATTGACTCAACACATACTTTAT